ATTTTGGCACCTAACGAATGGTTTAATGGTGTTTATAACTTTTCCACTTGCTCTCCTTAGATGGTTACCGCCACGTTGCCCTCTGGCGAGCGACAGCAAGTTGTAAAACTTAAGTTTCTCCCACACATAACATGGCAAAGGTCGATGCATTAATCGATCACCCGATCCAAATTCATAACGTGATTTCCAGCAATTTCGCATTGAAATAAGTATCTTTCTTGAATAAACCAGCATGTCGATAGCCCGTAAATAGTATGGATCCAAAGATCATATAAAATTGGTAAAAAGAACGAAGTATTCTAGTAGAAAATCGATAAAAATTTCGGAGCTTAAAAGTATGCAGCCACCCACGGGCGCAATTACATTCATCGCATTGAAATAGAATAGAACGTAAGATTCAAAACAGGATAGTATTAAGTCTCAATTTTTTTTCGATTACACACCCGAAAAAAACTGCCTTTTCATAGGCGGAAACGACCTGCCTATGCAAGAATAAGGCGACGACAGAAAGCCTTGCGATGGTAGGTCCTAAAATACAATTTTCCGACTGCTGCAAACTGAACTCTCTGTTACATGGCCTTGAAAAAGTTCAAACCAGCTAAAGAGAGACTGAACAAGTCATTTTTTAAAGCAGTTGTAATGGACTGATGTCGATCGAGACCACATTTCTACATAGTTGATAAACTAATTAGGGATATTTTGCAAGCATATTTAAAGTCTGCAAATATCGGCAAAGACAGTAAATATTTTATCTCGGCAAACACAGTAAATATTTATCTTACAAAGTAGTTGTCACCGATATGTCAAGACCACATTTCTACACAGTATAATTTCGATAATTTAGGTATATTTCCCAAACATATCAATTGTGGGTTTGGATTAATCCAAGCCAATATTTAAAGAAGGACTTGGTTTGTATCAGTAGGTCAGTCCAAGCCATTTAAGCTACTAGACATGTCGTTCTATAATTGCAAGTTTCGTCGATTAGTCAAGATCATGTTTATACATGGTAATAAATTAGAAAATAATGCATGCATATTAGGACTTGGTTTGGATCAATCCAAGCCAAATTAATTAAGAACACTAAATCGGTTATTTTACAAAGCAGTTGTAGTCGCATGTCCAGACCACATTTCTCTACAGTTGATAAGTTAGGGACATTAATTTGCAAACATATTACGACTTGTATCCAATAGTAACCTGTCCTGCTATGTCTATATATGTAATACCATGTGTTGGGGGCATTAGTTCAAATCTTTTGAAGGCCTGTATATATTTGTACTAGTACATGTAATGACTTATGAATATATTGCTAATTGTACGTTTATGCATGGATGGTAAACTATACAAATGTTGTAACCAGTTGTGTTATCATGTTATATACCTTGTTAATCCTTGGTAGATTGCCGTTTTGTCTCAGGCTGTAGTTTGCCATCAATCAGCTCAAGTGCTGTCAAATATACACAATCTTTTATCAGTCCATGAATCACTGTTGACGAGAAGTTTGCAATTTCTTGTTCCAAGATCTTTTCCAATCATGTATTTTTACTGTCTCATTCTCTGCTTTTCGTACTTTTGCAATGACAGCCACGTTTTTATATTCTTCAAGGCATTATTAAACGGAAATTGATTAGAGGGGAATATTGAATATATTCCCCTCTAAGAACAAAGGAAACCTAGCTGGGTGAAAAATAAGACTTTTTATCTTCTAGTGGTGAAAACAATATTTTACGAGCGAGCGCAGCGAGTGAGTAAAATATTGTTTTTAGCACGAGAAGATAAAAGTCTATAACATATTGGCATATTGTTTATTTAAGAATATTAATCCTGATATATCCATATCTTCAAGCCACCGTGTAAAGCAAAAAATTGTATAAATACTAAAAGTCACGTGATATATTGTTTTAACCACCTTCAATTGTATTCGTTTGTCACTTTAGATATTTTTGTCTTGTTGCCTTTTCAGATATGCTATCACTTTTCGAGGAGTCTTACACCCTCACTCTAGAGACTGTGTTATTGGATTGCATTTTTAATGTGAGAGAATGACTATAAAACCGATCAATCCAAGCCTGCGCAATATATCCAACCATCACATCTTTGTTATCGTGAAGATTGGAGGTGATGCTGTGCTCGCTACAAACATTGGAGCAAAGACGCTGAATAGAAACCTTCGAAAGGTCAAAATAAAGGAATTCTGGTGCTTACTGCAGTATGTATTTTGAGAGACTGAATCTTTCTAATGGGGCTCATGTGGTTTACTAATATCATACTATTACTTTTTACTCAACCTCACTTTGCCCCTGCATGTGTATGTTGTTTTATGATCTAAGCTGCAAGGCATGGAAAGACAGCGAGCATGAAATTTTCTGACAGTTGTGACCTTTTTGTATATGACCAAGATATGTTGTATCTGATATACAAGCTCCTTCATTCACGGTCATGATTTCTTTGCGGTTTCCTATGTATTATCAATGAGAATTACAAATGTACTACAATTGAGAAACAGATGAAACGATTTTAAAAAAAATGTTGTTTAATTAATCATGAAAATTAATTATTCAATTAAAAGAACTCGAAATCTACATGCTTCGTGTAGTCCTACTGAGCGCCCGATGTGGTTGATATATAAGCTCCTAAATGTAAGCTGCTACTTATAAATAAGAGAAATATATTCATGCACAAACATGAAGATTTTAACCATATTTGTACATTTCTACATGACTATAGTTTAGAAAAGGACTATCTATCTATCTATATACATGCATTAGCCTTATATTGTGATGGTCACAAATTTATTACAGGATTTGTGCACTATTTTGTGTTATTAAAAAACGTTTCAATCAATCAATTAATCAATCATATAAATACATGTATACAAAATTTCATTATTTTGAACTCATCAACATGAACAAGCTCTGTGATTGGTTTACAAATAACAATGAAATACAATAAAAGAATAAATTTTTAATGAATGAATGAATGACGAACATTTATCACTTGTATTTGCAAGTCAATCACAGAATATGCTCATATTAATTTGTTTCATCACAATCCTTTTATGCTCAATTAATTTAAAACGTTGCGCTTATCGTGAACTAGACTTGTTTCAAGTCCCTCCCCAATTCAGTTTTGATACGATCTATCCAGTCATGAGACTCTGGGCGGTTGTGTTGATATCAGTTTCAATTGGGTCTTTCCAATCAATTTTTAATTCAATTTCAATTGGATCTACCCAGTTTATTATGCAATCAGTTGCATTTTGAACTGGGTCTAGCCAGTCAATTATGCATGAGACCTATGCATAGCTCGGAAGGAACAACTGAGGTCATACCACGCTATCAAAAATGACTAGCGAGGCTTGAAGCAAGTCTAATCATGAGCCAAGGTTAACGTTGATGACCTAAACTCATTGTTTCAGATCCTTGGCTCGGCACATGGAAAGTTTGACGTGTGAACTAGGACTTCGTACTTATGTTTTATACTGTAATTTCATTTCTATTTCTTTGGCTGCAACGTTGACAAAAAGTAACCGCGTCATCATTTTTACAGCCAAGTAAAGCGTAAAGAATTCCTTTCTTTCGACGGCAAAGAGTAAAGTCCATAATTAATATAGTAAATAGTACCAACGACAGTAGAAAGGCGGCGAGGATAACTTTGCCGGAAGTAACGTAAACCAAAATCTCATAATTTGGTCCTAAACAGAAGCATAATAATTCCTGTTAATTCATCAATTCTGTAATGCTCAAATCCTCATACCGTTTATAAAATTAATCATCCTCTCTAATATATGTCTAAAAAGCCTCTTCTCTAATAAGCCACTTCTTTAATATACCCTCTCTAATAGTTCCCCTCTCTTCCACAAGCTCCCTCTCTAATTAGCCCACTCTCCAACGAGCCTCTTCTCTAATACGCCCTCTGTCCAATACGTTCCTTCTCCAATAATCTCACTCTCTAATACGTTCCCTCTCTAATAAGCCCCTCTAAAGAGCCTCTTCTCTAATAAGCGACCTCTCTAATAAGCCCCTCTCTAATACGCCTCTCTCCAAATACGCCTCTCTAATAGGTTCCCTCTCTAATGAGCCACCTCTCCAACGAGCCTCTTATTTAATAAACCCCCTCTGTTTTAAGTGTCCTCTCAAATAAGCATTTCTTTCTAATAAACCCAGTCTATTATGCCCCCTCTGTAACACGCCATCTGGCCCAGTCTGGTTTGGTAACAGCGAAGATTGTCTTGATGGGTGATCGTTGTGTTTGTCGGGAGTTACGTTATCAGACGAACTATCTTTTCTTTTCCGAAAATCATGCGTATGAATAATTCTTGTCTAGTATAAATCAGACCCTTGATTTCTTACCTTGATCACTCGAGTTTCCAGCTGGAGCTTCTGAGGATAAGCTTTTGAGCTTCTGAGGATGATTTTTATCTTGTTGTTTTGTTTCAGCTCCATCATAAGCCTTGCATAAAATATCACTTGTTAGCGGGACACTGAATGGACTACCAAATACCATGAATGTTTGCTTATTAGACGTTTTGTTTCTTACCACCACGCAGCCAGGCAAGCACTGTTGGTACTCCATATATATAAATCGTGAGACAGCGGTGGCATGTTTTGGATGGAGTTTATATCTTGGTTGAGCACTGTTGCAAACGTTGCACGCACGTATTAGATTCACCGGATTGTTCGAAAACTTCACTTTGTAATCAGCTTCTGACACTGCAAGAAAAATCCATACACATTAAGGATACGGTGTAATAAGGGACCGGTCATTATTTATGGTGGGGGGTGGCACCGAAGAGAAAAGGGTTGGGTAAACTAAATTTTGAGTAAGTAAAAGGTCGGGTAAATGAAAAACAAAACAACTCAAGGGTTGGGTAATAAAAAATTATTGTCATTTCCAAAGCATGACTCACTGAAGTATTGGGGACTAAAAAGCAATGGCAACAGTAGGCCCTACTACTCTGGGGCGATAACGAGATAAGCAATTTTAGGTATGTGATTTAAGCAAAATCTGCTATTTTTAAGCAATGTGTGTTTGAGCGATATGAAAGAAAACAATTAAAATTTTAGGGAATGCTGTTTTAGGTGTTTAGAGGTAATTTCAGGAATATACAACTATATCCCTGATGACTCCAGTGGAATTACCATTAACTTATCCCAAGCATCCAAACATGAGTGTTCCCACAAATACACATGTGTGCAGTGTATGAAGCAAAATATACAATTTGACAAGAAAAGTTGAAGTCTGCTTGAGGGGGTTCTGGTAACAAACAATACACTGTATGCGCATGACGATCAAGTGTTTAAAGGGTAAATAAGCTAAATATTCATGACTTTTTTCATCCATTGTCTAATTCGATGCTATTGAGGTATTATTAAATTCATGACACAACTATAATACATGACAACATCATATGCAATTGCAAACAATTTTCAAAGGAATAGGGTACATAATTGCAATATAAAACATATAAGTAAATTATAAATGTCATGAACTTACCAGTTTGTGTTGAGTTAAATTAAATTAAAAATTTTTTATGACATCAAATATTATTTATTTATTTGCAAATCAAAACTTAACATTTTAAAATTATCATGTTTTGTATTGTGCCCGCAATATATTAATGGTATTAACCGCTGTAAATATGATATACAATGTAAATTTTTTAATACATTAGTACATTACATTTGCACTCAAAAGTGCAGGAAGTGAGTTTCTAGAAAGGATGAAAGCTCCATTTTATGTAGGGTATGTAAAACGTAATTGTTGTTTACTGTTTATTTTGTATTCAGGTATGGGGAATTTAAGCGATGAGAGTTGCAAAACTTGCAAATGTAGTCTGACTTGTCTCTTTGACGTCATCATGCAACTATTTAATATTGTGCTACATTCATTATTCAATTTATTCACAGCAATTAGCCTTCTATAAACCATACAAATGATTGTTGCTTGTAGCCCACTTTGCCTTTAACATTGATCCTATCTAATGAATTAATATAACTAACTTGATTATGTTGCTAGTCGAGTATGGGACCTATGGGTCTTTTATATCAACACGAGTGGAAATTGGGAAAACGAGAAATTAATTGTGTGGAAACACGACGCCCGAAAAAATTTAGCACATAGAAATATAAAGAAAGAAATTTTCCGACATTTCTGTGTTGACATTGAGTTATATCAACACGGCTCTTAGCCAATCAGCATTCAGAATTTACAAATGCTATATTATAAAATCTGTTATCAAACTTATGTCACAGAAGTGGTAAAGGACATATGTGACAACTGAATGATACCTTTCGTAAATGTTTTGGCCAGGGGTGGGTATTTATTTTTTAATTGATATTTGAGGTTGGGTAATTAATTTTTTTTACTTTTTAATGGTTGGGTCGGCAAAATTTTTGCCTCGAAAAACATTTCTCTTCGGTGCCACCCCCCGCCTTAAATAATGACCGGTCCCTAATCACCTTTCCATGCGAGTGAGACCTGAATTACATACATATATACATACATACGATACATGAAGGGAGAGCTCCCATGTTCCCCTGGTTAAATTGCTAACCTATTTATGAACATGTTTTATGATAAGGTTGCAGGACTACAACAATAAAACTAAAAAAGAAATTTTCTAAACAACAAAAGAAAGTTAATTACAGAACATGTTCATTTTAGGTAATTGCATGGTATTTATTCACTGTATAAGCGGGACTAACCTTCGTTATTAGTTATGGTTTTATACAGTGTACTCTCCCTGTATTTTAAGGTCCCACATGTACAAGATGTGTGATTATAAACCACATATTTATAAAACTTCTTTTTACTGCTAGAATCTTTGTTTGTTATATCCGGAACCACTATCTCAATTTCTTCCGTTGTTTTTGGTACCGGGTACCCATGCTGTCCACTATGGCAGTCCTCCATCTCAAGTTTAACACAGCGATAAATTTCGATGAAATATAGAGGTCTGGATGGCGAGGTAACAAAGTCATCATCGTATATTGAAATCACCTCTCTTTGTGGACCTAAAACAAAAGAATCAGGTATTGGTAAGTTTTAGTAAACTGTATTTCATTATTTTCTTCTTGATATAAGACTACTATTGGTAGTCAAATAGTTATTATAATGAAAAGGCTTATTTTCAACTATCTGTTACACACTTGTGCTGAGTGAAACCAAACTAAACTACAGATTTATCTATATTCATTGGTTCCAATTGTGTCAAATATTATCCCCGAGCCGACGGCGCGAAGCGCCGTGCGAGGGTACTAATTCCCCCCGGCTATTTACACCCGGGGAAACGAAAGCATTAGCGGAGTCTAAAGTTCATCAAATATCGCGGGCGTGGGTCACCAACGGTGTTGGGTGGGTGGTCATCCTCACTGACCTCAAAAATATGGCGGACTGTCACGAATAGCGGACACTGATTGGTCCAATTTAAAGTTTGCATTATAACGACTGCATGACGACAGCGAAATAGCAAACATTTCTTGAGTTGATTTGATGATTCATAAATTTCTTGCAAATATATTTCATTTTTGCTCGCATTTTTGCAAGATTTTGTAAATTTCAAAAGCTCTCTGAGAAAGGAACTGCGAAAGAATCGGCTAAAAGAACGGAGCCGACGTTAACGAAGGTAACTTTGTTTTAAATATTGATTTTATAATGGTTTAAAACCCGACGGCCCTTTGCGTATATGAAAAACTAAACAAGACAGCATATAATTTCAGTGTATCTTTAATATTGATTCCCTTTTTTATGATATTGAAATTTTTAAATAAATAAGAAAGCAAACTTATTTGCAAGCGAGAATTTTAAATCATTTTATTGCAAACTCAAAGTTTATTGATAAAGCCATTTTAAAAGGCAGTTTAGTTTTATATTAAAGAACACTAATGACTTTAAAACGCTTTGCGAAGCGTTTGTGGTTGAATTTTACCTTAAATCGAGGCTTATATTACGTATAATAACATACCTAAGATATATATGTTGGGAAATTAATAATTTTGTGATTAAAAGTGATATTTATAAGCGATTTTTCATTTGTAAGAATATTCTTAAAAAATTATCGTGTTACCATGACAACTTAGATACTTCATGTTCGGAAAATACAATGGTTTTGTCAGCAAGGCGAGGGTTTGTGCATATGCATGTATTTTCTAGTAATATTAATACAGTGCAAGAAGTATATGTAAAAAACGGAAGCTTTGAATTACCTGTTATTTCCGGACTAGATTCTACAACTGTTAGCATGATGAACATGCAATAGCAAAATGTTCAGCCCAATAGGTTTCAAATTTGAAATTTTGATATCTGAAGAGACTGAAGAATATGGACGAAAAATTATCAAACACAATTCAACACTCTCATATTATCAAAACTTACATCCTGTATTATTTATTTGATTTAAACTTGATCAAACATTATAGTACACACGCGGTACAATCACTCAGTAGACACCAAATTAAATTAAACAACCAGGATCGTAAAATTATGATCTTATCTGTCTAATTTATTGACACGAAATTCATCTGCTTGACCACGATATATAGTGTTCAAAAAGAATCAACAAAATATCTAGAAATGCGTGGTCGATGAAAATATTCTTACAGCTGCACGAATAAACTGATAAACTGATATTCATTATTTGTATAATATCATATACGTCCTTATCTGTCATTTGAGACAGGCAACATAAACAGTGGCGTAGCCAGCCCGACAATTTGGTCCCGCTATGCTAATTCAAAATTTTTATCATTATTCATTTCTTTAGAAATTTATTGTTTTCACAGTCAATGAACACAAAAATATTTGCATAGCGGGACTAAATCGTCGGGCTGGCTACGCTACTGAACATAAATATACAGTCAAGCATAATTTGTTGTTGTTACACAGCTACAAAATGGTGTAATGTGCAGACTTGACATACCCCATTGGCTTGTGGGGGCTTATATACGTACTCATGTAATAGACATTCTCAATTGATACATTGCCGTCTTTGGTACGGCGATTTATTGCAAAATTAAAATTTAGCCAAAAATTATTTAGTCACAGCTAAATAATCAACCTATGTTTTCTGCATGCAGCAATTTGAAAAATACAAATTACGAGAAAAAAGCTACTACATGCACTTTCGAAGATAGAATGCATTTCAAAATAATTTTCTTTTCTTCTTTTAAACCAACTAACCCTATAATTATACACTTGGCAGATACTGTGAAGACTTGGAAAATGATAGTGAATCATAAATATACGTTTGAACGAACAAATGAACGAATGGTCAACTAACTTAATGAGTGAAATTAAAGTCAATATACATAAAAAAATATTTAAAAAAGTCAGTCGAATCTACACTTACCCGCCATACTTGTAAACTGGAATGTCTTGAAAATCTCCAAATGAACGCTAAACGTTCCCTGTCGTATGAGGTGCTCTGGTGTGGTTATATATGTCGTGTAAACTGGTGGTTGAAACCATATAAGGATTCATTTTTGTGTATCACAAAATACGTAATCGAAACTGCACCGGTTAGGAAGTACCCACACCGATTGACGAATGTTCATGAAGTACAATATTGGAAAGTGGACGTATAAAAAGTACATTTTTTGATACACAATAAATTAATATATATGGGAGATGTAGAACGGCCTATAAGTGCTGAAATTTCCGAGGATGAAAAAAAAAGAAAAAAAAAGGATGACGGCGACCTTCAGTGAACCCACGTGTAGACGCAAACGAAAGCTCTTATGACGTAAAATATTGGGAGGTATAAATCCATACAAAGTGAAATCAATTATTTGATAAAAAATATATTAATTAATAGAAATAAAAGATCTAGAGCCCTACAAGTGCCAACATTTCCGAGCACGACTATATCACTAAGCCCATGCATGAATAGGCGCAAACAAAAGCTCACATACAGGGTGTATAAAAAAGAGGTAATCGAACTTCAGCGCGCTATTATACGCGAATTACTCGGCGTATGAACAATTGGTTTTCATATTCGAGAAGATCAGGATTTTAGCTATTGAATGACATGCTTTTCATGCCAAGTAGAGAAAAAATAAGCATGAACGAGGCCGATTAAAAATGTTAGTCAAAATCGCATATTTTCACCTCTGTGCCTAATTAAAACAATGCATAACAAAAGAAAAAGCAATTAATCACGAACGTGTCGTAGCTTAGCTAAGATTTATTCCTACTTAATAATAATTATGAATATGTGTGCAGTTTAATGAAGTGAAATTCATCAACTTAAGTCCTAAAGGGGGTTCATTTTCAATGGTTTTAGACCCAACTCTCAACGGTGAAAATATGCGATTCTGACTAACATTTTTTATCGGATTCGTATTTGCTCATTTTTTATCCATTTGGCACGAAGTAGATATCATTCAACAGCTAAAAGCATGATCTTTCCGAATGTGAAAAAATCTCGTTCATACGCAAAGTAATTCAGATACAATAGCGCGCTGAAGTTCGATTACCTTTTTTTTTATACACCCTTGTATATGACGTACAATATTCGAAAATAGATTCCCAATTACATAGCAATGAGGAGTAGAATTAAATAACTACAATATCAGGGCCAGGAGCCTTTAGAAACCAAAAGGTTTTTGTTCAAGGTCCAAGGTACATAATAATTTTAACTATATATATAGCTATATTCATGATTTAGAATGCAATTCAAATGTTTTTTAAAGTCAGACTGAACAGAATATATAATGTATAATACATTAAAACAGTAAGCTGTAGGCTAGTTGTGTTACATTTGAAAGAGAAAAACAGATTTTTAACAAATAATAAAGAACGGGATATAAATATATAAACACAGTTGTTAAAGGTCAGCTATTATATTTGCATGAACGAATTGAAGTCATCATCATTGCTGGACATAATGCACGCATAATTAGGAAAATCCTCCCACATGCAAAACCAAGACGCACACATGCAGTCAGGGACGCCGCGGGAGCGAGGGTAGGGCACAGGGGGGCAATGTTGACGTAAGGGCATTTAATATTTCGTTTTCGAAAATGTTTTTCCGGAACCTAAATTCACCAAAACAAAGGCAAAAAAATTTGAAAATATAAATTTTTGACACAATATTCCAGAAAATGTCACATATATTTCAATATTACGTACATTTCACCCGTAATTCATACTTTTTAATCGTTGTACCATATATTTTTTGGGTTAGAATTTTTATCTATAAGGGCACTTTTGCCCCCCCTGCTGCCCTTACTAAAGGGCAAGGGGGGGGGCGCGATGTCCCCCTGCCCCCCCGTTTCCGCCGTCCCTGCACACAGTTGCAACAGTATAGGAACGCATGCCCATGCATTCTAGTTCTATATTTTGAAGCGAAGAAACTCCAATTTTTACTTAATAAAAGATCGGAAATAGTTTCGACATGTAATCATAAAAATAAATTTCTAGTAAACAGTGATAAAAATAAAACAAAAGTTATTCCGAATAAGGCCTATAGAGTGCATAATTTTAACACACAATTTTATTAAAACCGTCTATTTCGAATCTAAATCAGATTCATCTTCAGCAGTGTTTTGCAAGATATGTCGTTATATTACAAGCGTGAGCAATTGTAAACAAGCTAGCCTAAGCATTCAACAGCGTTTATTCGTAATCAAGCAGTTCACGCGTAGTTCTTTCATTCAGCGCACGTTAATCAATTAAATAACTGTAGCTCTCTACTATCTTTTAGTCCATTATTAAGACTTGATTTACGTCTTTTAATGTGTAGCGCTTCTTTGTATAGTAATAAATTCCAGTTTCTGGAAGAATCAATGATCTTAGTGCTTGAGAGTACAAGTTCTGTCAGTTGTGTGTTAGGTTGTGATGTTAAGAATGTTCTGTCGTAGCAGCAGTCTAAGGCCCTGTTTACACTATACCGGATTCGCTGGTCACGACATCTT